TTTTTTCCCTTCCTTCCTTTCTTTCAGTGCTGGGGACTCAAACCCAAGGCCTTGCATACACGCTGCCACTGAGCTACACCAGCAGCCTCCTTCAAAATTTGGAGGGCCTTCCTAGCTGTGGAAAGGGGGGCCTACGCCCTTCTCCACACCCATCTCTCAGGCTGGCTGGAGTGAGTGTCCTCTGGGTCCCTTCTCCTCGATCCCTGTTAAGCACAGCCCTGCTTGGAGACCTGATCTCTACATCTCTGAGTGGTGTGTCTACTCAGTGCTTCTTCCCAGGGTTCCCTAATACACCATCTCAGGCCTGCCTGTTTAGGAATAACTGTTGTTGATATGAACTTGGGGAAACAGCTCTGTAATTCTTTCAGATGCAGTAATAACAACAGTTAAATGCTCATGTGTGCATCAAAGGCTAGTTAGGGAGGACAAAGGAAAGGACCATTGAGCATCACTGAAAAGCGCTAAAAGCACTAAACATTTTACCTCATTGGATTCTCACCAAAAAAAGTTTTAAAAATATTTCTTGAAGATCTACAAGTATAGCAAGATAATGTACCATGGCCAAGAGAATGGATTCTAAAGATCACCTCCGCTTGGAGCTAGACTCTATAACTTACTAACTAGATCTATGGGTCTGGACAAATAAATGACTTAACATTGTGCTGTGTCTGTTTCCTTCATTGCAAAATAGGAATAATAATATCTAGCTCATGGGATTTTTGTGAGGATAACATGTGCAAAATACTTGCAACATGCCTGCTTCCATGTGTTTGCTGTTACTATTATTTCATGCAAGGGAATGGTGCTATTATTCTTCTTCCAAATAAGCGCAGGAAAGCTAAGTGAAGTTATAGTCTCACCAAGGGACACATAGCTTGCAGTAGGCAGAGGCAGATTTGGAATACAGGTGTATGCAGCTCCTAAGAGCTTTCTTTGCCAAAGCCAGACATATTTCTACTGCTGAGTTTTTGTCACTCAAAGAGATTGAAAACAGACATATAGAAGTAAGGGCTCTATAGGCATTTGATCAATAAGTATGGGAACCAGTAAACCATATGAAATACAGAATGGTTGCAGGAGGCAGCTGTTGGGATCCCCTCCCCCACCCACCCCAGTTGGTCAAGTCTTCTTTGGACTGCATCAGAAACCTGGAGATAGGGAGAGGTTCCCAGGAAAACAAAGGATTAGTCACAGGAAACATCCCGTGGGGGTAGAAAGCAAAGAAAGAGAATTTCAATGGGAGCAAAGAGCTGGTTGTAGAGACTTAGATCAGAAGGGAATGTGCAGGGCTGGGGTGTCTGGAGACTGCGTATCTAGATGAAAGAACCAGAGCTGGGAGCCTGGGTAGGAACAGGCCAGAGGGGTGGGTCCAGAACTGCAGGGGGAGGAGCGAGTGCCTGGGCGGGGGAGGGGATCTCACAGCTGCTGACCTCGAATCCTTGGGACTCTGACTTCCTTTTATATTTTTCCTTTCAGCTACAAAGTGAACGGAGGGCCACAGAAGAATTTAACCAAAAGGGGACAAGGCTGGAGTCTGGGCGCCCACCGGCGGGGAGGAAGCATTAAGTGAACGGTGGAGCAAGTGAGCAGTGCACAGTGCTGGCACAGGCAGAGCGTCCCATGGCAGTGGCCCTTTCTATTCTCAGTCAGGAGAGCCAATGAAGTGGAGAATAAGAACTACCAAGTTAAATTGATTCTTAAATTGAATTTAGCTGTGCAATTGGTGAGAGATGCTGAATTGTCCAGGAAATAATTTCAACTCTCCACTTATTGCCAATAGAATTCTTTTGTCCTAGGAATCAATGGAACATCTTTGATTCAAAGTGGAAGGAAGGCCCTTTCTTCTATCACTTCCAAGGTCCTCTCCCACTTGGGTACCAGACTCAGCATTTACAAAAGTAGCAGAAAGAAGGGATGGACTGGCAGCGGGGATCAAAAATCCGTCTGCATTCTGCCCGTTGAAGGCAATGCTAATGTACACAAGTTAAACATCTATTATGAAAGATGTACGCTCATTAAATAACATATTGTTTTCCACATGGAGTTTTTCAACTCGGCGTGATTTAATTTTTATTTTCAATAGCGAATTAATTCTCAAATGAATATGCTGTAATAAATTCCACATAAATTCATTCTTGGAGTTAAGTGCAGTTTCTTTTTCTTTTATAATGGGATGCAATGACTTGATTCTCATCACCAAGCCAAATTCAGCCCTTTGTGTGCCAGTGAAACCACCGAAAAAGACTCAGCCACTTACCAAGAACAAGGTAACCTGTGTTCTCCCGGGCACAAACCGCGTCTCTGCGAAGGGAGAGGGGGAAGAGACCAGACGAGAACCTCAAATATCAGCGAAGACTATCAGGACGTCCTGCTAATAAACGACTTTTTCACTGTCCACACTATAATTGGTTTACAGCCCCTTTTGTTTATTTATCCATAAGAGCTGCTGTTAAATGGCTCGGGAAGGCGCTCGCCTAATGGCTGGGTATCGCGGCCGGGCCTGTTGGAGGCGAGGCGGCTGCAACGCGCGCAGGCGTCAGCGGGGATCAGAGCGGAAACGCATTTCACCTGTAATGGACTCAGCAGGTTTATGATAGCAGGAGCTGTATCCAGAGAAATACAAGACACTGTCCTGCTCAGCGGAGGGTTCTGTGGGGCGCGTTTTTCGTGTGGCTGTATGTGATAAAATCAACCAATCAAAAATTTTGCTAGCCTTCCCCTGGCTAAGAAGAATAATGTATGATCTTTATTTGCTGGATCCCTTCTTTAAGAAGCAGACAGAAGAAAACGCTAATCATGAAAGTGAGAGTGTGCCTCCACTGAACACCCTCAGTGCAGACAGACACACACACACACTCATCCTTCTTCCGCACGGTTTTGCTCAGCCCGGGCTACCGGGTTTTTGCCAGAGAGCACGGTGGGTGGATTTACTTTCTGCTGAGAACCTCCTTCCTTTCTGCAGGGCCGAGCAAAAATATTAAACGGAAGCAAATGAAGCATCTAAATGGAGACCAATTTACAGAAATGTGCAATTAGACGAGAAGTGCAAAGTAAACACTCTGGGGGTGGCGAGCGAGGAGAGGAGCAGGGAAGGGGGTTGGGGAGCAGGCGAGTCCTAGGAGGGGGGTGTCCAGGGGAGGAGAAAGGTGTCGATCTTTGTCCTGCAGTCCGTTCATAACAGTGTCGCCAAGTCAACCCGCGGCGACCGGGCAGATTATCTCCGAGGGTCAACACGCCCCGTCTGGGCAACCCCCTCCAGCCCTGTCTAGATCGATGTGGTCACTCGCGGCCGAGGTGATAGGGTCCTTCGCGGCTACCGCGAACAATGGACTCATTGACAGGGGCATCTAGAGATTAGGTGCGCGGATCCCAAGGCCTTTCACTCTCAGGCCCCCTATGGCCACAGGTGGCCCTTTTCCCTGAAGAAATCGCCGGAATTCTCTCCGCCTGCTGGCTTCCCTCAATCGCGAGCTACACCGCTTCCCAGCTCGCCCCGACCACTCGGTGGCCCGCTCACTTCGCCAGGCAATTGTTGAGATCACATCATCCTACCTAAGCAAGAGTCTGCAGACAAGCCCAAATTCCTAATTAGTCTTTTTCCCTTTTAAAGAAAATGAAGCGTTATTTAGAATTACGCACTCAGCCTATACTCATTTAAAACATTCGTTTCCAGTAGGAGAAAATATATTAAAATCTAAGGGCTAGATGTGAGCGTGTAGCTTAGGAGAGTCAGGTTGCAGGGATTTGCTCTTGGTTGGTTGCTTGTGGTTCATGGGGCCTTTTGCAAAGGTATCCAGTTTTTCCAAAACCCTCCATGGAGAGTGGAGGAACGTGATCTGGTTCAGGAGGACCTGGTTTCACAGTCTGGCCCGGCAGCCCAGCGATAGTGCATCAGAGATGTCGGTCCTGTTCAGGCGATGGATGGGATGGGCGAAGGGGATGGGAGATAGACCGTCCTCCACAGTGGCTCCCGCCAAAAAAAAAGTAACTCTGCTTAAGTTAGAACTCCAGGGTGCCCAGAATACCCAAAGCGTTGAAGCTACATGCAAATGTGTTTTTATTTCGTTTTCTAAACAGCCCACTCCCCCTTCTTCCATGCCTGCCTTATCATAATCACAGGCCAAAAAAGTGGACGTTGTCCGCTGGCAGAATCTGGCCGGTTCTCCAGATCCGGGACAATCATCAACGATCTGGAAATCTGTGACAAGCCCCAGCTCAGCCTTTCAACCACAAGAGGAATGCTGTGCTTTGTCACATTGGGAAATTGTGTTCTGAGTTAGCAAAATGGGCTCCAATTCTTAAAATCAAAGTTAAGAACCTTCAAGTAGAAAAAAAAGTAAGCCACTGTGATTGCGTCCAGAGTTAGTTTACACTCCAGAAATACCAGGCGCACAGCCACAGACAAAACACAGTGGATGCCGGATTGTCCGTGTGAACAAGCTTCATCAACAAAATAGAAACAACACCTTCCCTCCTACAGAGCTGGATCTGCAAACTTTTTTGAAATGTATTCTCCAATAGTTAAAGTCGCAACCTCAACGTATATGTATTTGTAAATTATACAAATGACCTAATAATATTTATGTACATCGTCGAAGATACAAGAAATGTTTAGAGCACGTTGAAAATGATTCCATAGATTAATAGAAGTTCCAATATTTTTGCGCGCCCCACTTTGAAGAGCACAGCCAGCTGAGTTCAACAAACTCAGCTGAGAGAGAAAATTGAAACAAATGCAGGTGCTCGCGGGTTCCTGGGCCTCGCTTCTTAAGGCAGTCGGCCAGGCCAATAATGGTCCCAGGCTGAGCCACGTGGGACACAGCAGAGCCTATGGCGTGGCGGCCAGCTTGCAGGTCCCCATCAGCCGCAGGTTCCTCCGGAGAACAGCGGAGAGCTGTCAAAGCGAGCAGGGCTTGCGCTGGGAGTGGGAGCGCCTCATCGCGCCAAGACCCGGCTGTAACTCCTTACTCCTGCTTCCTGGTCCCCAAACTTGTGCTGCAATCATGAATGGCGAGGAGCAGTACTATGCGGCCACACAGCTTTACAAGGAGCCCTGCGCGTTCCAGAGAGGACCCGTGCCTGAGTTCAGTACCAGCCCCCCTGCGTGCCTGTACATGGGTCGCCAGCCTCCACTGCCACCACCACCCCAGTTCCCTGGATCGATGGGAGCGCTGGAGCAGGGAAGCCCTCAGGATATCTCCCCATATGAGGTGCCCCCACTCGCCGACGATCCTGCAGTGGCGCACCTCCACCACCATCTCCCTGCTCAGCTTGCGCTCCCCCACCCGCCCGCCGGGCCCTTCCCGGATGGAAGGGAGCAGGGGGCCCTGGAAGAGCCCACCCGCGTTCAGCTACCTTTCCCGTGGATGAAGTCCACCAAAGCTCACGCATGGAAAGGCCAGTGGGCAGGTAAGCCTAGCTCCTTTTCTCTTTTCTGGCTGTGGGTTCAGATGTCCCTACCTCCAAGCTCTTCCCTGGGCCCTCTTCCCGGTTCTGGTTTCCAGTCGCCTTGGATAACGCAAGGTTGGAATAAACTATACCCAAGGAGCCGAGGAGGCCATCCTGCACAGGAGCGCTTTTCTGATGCATTTTGGAGCATTTTCCCCACTCAGATCTTCTCCTGGTAGCTTAAACCCCTTCTTTCCCGGTGCTCTGAGCCCTTCTTAGCCCCAGGATCTTGCTCGCACCGCACCCAGAAAGCAGAGGCCTACCCAGGCTCAGGCCTACCCTCTGGATCCTTCTCCAGCGGGATATCTGGCAGCCCACGACTCTCGGGGCTGAACACGGGCATTAAGTGAGCCAAGCAGGATCCAGGATGTCTCTTACCCTTGCCGGAGAGCGTTGGAAATCCCAGATCCTCTCACTTCCTCTGGTCCTTACTGGAGGCTTTATTAGAGAACAGATTCGCGGGGTAGATGCACAAAGGCAATAACGGAAAGGAAAACTGCATTCATCCAAGCCTGCAAAGTGTCCAGTGACCGGTACGGGGGGCGGGAGGTGGAGGAACACCGGGAAGGACTGGGGCAACGCAAGGGGCTTACCGCAAGATCGAAGGCCAGTCCTTCACCCTTGGAGCCAGGCAGCTGGAAAGGCGTCTGAGATGCTAATTCATCTTTCAAAATGTTCCAAGGGTCTCCTCGCGCTGCTCCCCAGGAAGTAAGTCTACAGAAGGAGGTCCTCACTTCCTGCCCAGCCGGTTGGGGAAGCGGGACCCCTGGGTTCCTTCGGTCCTAGGCGCCTGCTTGTAACAGGTCTGTCTCGGGGCCGGGAGGCTGAAAGTGGAGCCACCCCGGGGTCCCTTTCCGCCGGGGGCTGGCTGCGAGTTCCGGTGGCCAGTGCCCGCCGCTACACAATGTTATCACTTCCGCGCCACAGCCACTTCTGGTCACACCTGCACTGCAAACAGTTGCTGTTTCTTTGCTTTTCAACTGACAGTCGCCAGCAGGGATATAGAAGCTAAGGCGGGCATCTCTGAGAATTCCCGGCTCCCTGTCTGCGGGGTCTGACCAGCGAGACCTGCCTGACACTGACCCCGGCGCAGCCAAGCAAGGCTTTGAACCGGATAAGGACAGCCGGAATCATCCCCGCTCCCGGGGTTCGCCTCTTACTAGTTCACTTTCGGGCTCAGGCAAAGCTCCTGAGGCGGGACAGGGCCCAAACCCCGCTGCAGTCGTCCCCACCTCCTGCGAAACCCCAGTGATGGCCGCGCCAGCTCCTGCCTTAGCGCCTCTTCGTACTTAGCCAGACCTCAAAGCCCGTGCCAAGGCCTCGGGGTCTGGGAAATTGAGGGGTTCATGGGAGGCGGGAACCAGGTCCCTGGACCTTGGGGTTCAGCTGGTCGTTTCGTGCTGAGGCTGCCTTCCCTGCGGGGCTCCTGGGGCTTCCCTGCGCGCTGGGGACGCGCTATCGGGGATCCCGGGCCATGGCAGCTCCGGTCCTCTGGCCTAGGAATTCCCTGGGTAAGGGCCAGGGAGGCCCTAGGGAGGACTTCGGAGATGGGTGACTTCCCTATTCTCGCCCAACCCTTGCGCTGGAGGAGCTTGGGCTCAGACGGCTCCCAGTAGCCAGGAAGTAAAACCCGAAAGGAAACCGGCAGTCTTGACAGGGTTTGGAGGGCAACCAAGGAAGGCCCCAGCTTCAGAGTGCCAACTCTGGGCTGGAAAGGCTTTTGCCAGCCTCTTCTGACCCACTTGCACGCTCAGTCGGCCCGGAAGGGACAGAAGTCACCTCTCTTTTCCGGGACCTCGCCTGCAGGACGCTGCTGTGGCCCCCGCGGTCCTGGTAGGAGCCAAACTTCAAGGGTTGGGGAACCCACCTGCCCCTGCTTTGTGAGGTTTCACGCCCCCTGGGAAGTGCGAAGTGACCAAAGGACTCTCAATCACAGTAGGACTATGAATACCGATGGCAATGGAGACGTCTAAAAACCAAGGCCTAAATGAACCGAGCCACGCTCGCGGCCTAGTCCCCAAACCTCCCTACCTGAGCTTTAGAGAAGGGCCCAAACTTGGGGGCCTTTTGACATCTTCCCTTCAATAGCCTCCGTCTCCAATCTCTATTCCTTGCCACCACTACCTGGGCCCAGGTCCTCTGAGGTAGTGGATTCCTGTAACCTCATACAGCAACTGTGGGAAGTGAGGGTCCCACCAGGGTGGAAGACCAGAGAATTTTCGGGTTGAATGAAAGAACCTTGAGTGGCCTTTTTACGTGTTCCTTTAAATCTACCTTGCCTCTTCCGGCCCGGGAAAGCATGGAGAACTTGGAGATGCTCCCCAGCGAGCTGGACTGCCACTAATTAACGTCTGGGCCACCATCTCAGCTTCTGGCGCCTCCTCTCGGTCTGGGAGGAAACCCAGAAGGTTCCATCGTGAAATGTACCCCTCGTCCTCGACATGCACACACTCTTCTTTCAGCTCCTTAAGAAATGCCCCCTACATTTGTCCTACAACAAGCCGGCTAACGCCTCTTCCTGGAGCTTTGGGACAGCATCCCGCGGCAGCGTCCGCGGCCCGGGTGCAGTCTTTATTTGGCACAAAAAATGGATGGGGACCTTGAGAAGCGCAGCGGCAAACATCAAATGTACGGGGTCGCCCTGTTGCTTCCTGAAGACCTGGGTTTAGAGCTGGGAGTCACCAGCAGTTGAAGGCTCGTTTCTACACCACTCCCTCCGCAGCTGGGCCGGTCCTCCTTCTCTTCCTCTCCGCCTCTGTCAGTATTTGGGGCGCTTGGCACCCAATCCGGGGCTCACAGCGTCCTGCCCCTGCCACAGGTGACCTTCCCCTGAACTGTATTCTCCACGCAGGGACCAGCTGAGGTTAAAACAACAATTATAGAGAATTTGCTCCCTCTCAGGTTGGGGCAGATTACAATGTAACTATATAGAGAGATAATAGATGGTCAGATATAACAAAATGTGCCACAACTTGTAATTAGCAAAGGGATTTTTCAAACTGCGTACTGATGTACGCATCATTTTAACGAAATAGTGAAGTAAGAAAATCAGCACTACAGTGGTAAAGTTTGTCTTGAAATGTGTCAGTTATATACACGTGTAGGGGTGGTGATCTGAAATGTGTTTCTTACTGACGGTCACCGTCAGAAAGTTTGCTGCAAGTCCTGGGTTAAAGGTATTTTATTGTCTTCATAGAAAGGAGTCAGTGTAAACGTCTATTCATTTTAATCAGAATCATCCTAAAAACCAATTAAACGAACTCATTCTAGAACCACTCCTTGACAGAGCCAAGCATAGGCTCAAGGTGAGAGCCCACGCAGCTTCAGCCTCCAAAAAAGGGAAGGTCTGCGTGCACCCTGTTGAAGCTCAGGACATACGGCTGGGGTTCAGTGGCTCCAGCGGGAGCAGCGGGAGGGCTAGAAGTCCTTGCGCAGAGGCTAAAGGGATTAGGCTGCATGGGTGGGATCTGGGCAGGGGTCCCTGGGCCACACTCACCCACTGTGTCGCCCGCAGGCGGCGCGTACGCAGCGGAGCCGGAGGAGAACAAGCGGACGCGCACGGCCTATACGCGCGCGCAGCTGCTGGAGCTGGAGAAGGAGTTCCTTTTCAACAAGTACATCTCGCGGCCACGCCGGGTGGAGCTGGCGGTAATGCTGAACTTGACCGAGAGACACATCAAGATCTGGTTCCAAAACCGCCGTATGAAGTGGAAAAAGGAAGAGGACAAGAAGCGTGGCGGCGGGACTGCGACCGGGGGTGGCGGGGGCGTGGAGCCCGAGCAGGACTGCGTTGTGACCTCGGGAGAAGAGCTGTTGGCATTGCCGCCGCCGCCACCTCCCGGAGGTGCAGTGCCACCTGGTGCCCCCGCTGCCGCCCGAGAGGGCCGCCTGCCGCCGGGCCTTAGCACGTCGCCGCAGTCCTCCAGCATCGCGCCCCGGCGGCCGCAGGAACCCCGGTGAGAGGCCGGGGTTGCACCGGGCCCAGCAGGCTTCGACCACTCGCAGAGGACGGGGAGCGGGCCTAGGACCCCAGGTGTGGATACAGGCCTGGGCAGTTGGATAGGGTAGGAACTGTGAGGCCCAACCAGCCGCCCACAGGGAGAACCCGTTCTTCCAGGCACATGTGCCAGTTTGGGCGCGGTCGGGCAGATGCTGGCAAAAGTTAGGAAAAAAGAAACATTGGTTTCCGAAATATTTGAGACCTCTTCCGGTGACCTTATCCAAATAGCGATGTCCATCCCGGCACCTATTTAGGGAAGCCAACTCTTCAAAAGACAACCGAAAATGTACAAATTGGAAGCTCCCCAACGTGAGGTGAGCGAACTGGACTGAGTTCCTTAATTTACCCAGAAACAGAGCCATTCTTAGTAATCAGGCGGCCAGATTACGTTTAAAAATAATTAAAAGGAAACTTTTGAGGCTTTAAAGAGCCAGTGAAATTGATGCCTATCAAATAGAATGAGTTCTCCTCCTAGTCCTCCTTCTTATCCATCAGTTCTCCTTTCACTCCTCCAACCAAATTCTTCATTAGCGTACATCCTTCAAGCTGCACCCGTTTCCTCTGAGGCTATCCCAGCAGGCAGGCTGGAATCTAGGGGCAGTGTAAACAAGGGTTCCTGTGTCCCCAGTTGGACCCGTGCTGCCTTGCCTGCCTGGAGATGGGTCTGGAACCCTTCAAGGGGTGAAAGATGGAGCCTGAGTGACCATTAAGCCAAAGACGTTTAGAACTTTCTATCTAGGAGTGAACTTAGTTCCTGGTCTCCGGCCAGGGAGGCTGTGCTGAAGGCAACACTGGGGACCTGGGGCACTTTGGAAACAGCTATTCACAGAGCCATATGCTTTCCATATCATTAGAAATCGTGAAAATGTATGCGATTGATGGATTTGAAAAACTGGTCATTTTCTATTAAAGTTTTTAAATTATCTGACACTTCTTTAACAGGTCTGTAGTTTCCAGGTCAGTTGCTCCTTGCAAGGTGTTCTCCTTGTGTTCAGGTTATGTTTATGGAAAATGCCTAATAAAATGGATAACCTAAGAAGCAATGAAAGCGAATTCTCCTCGCTTTATTTATTATTGCTATTATTGTTGTTGTTGCTATTGGGGGCACTCAGTTTGAACTCAGGGCCTCAGCTTGAGCCACTATTCCGCCAGCCCTCTTTGCTTTGTTTCAAACCTTTCCTACTGTGTGATCATTCCAATTGATTTTTAAAATTAATCTAGAATTTTTGAGTATTAAGCAGAGTAAAGCAGGTAATTAGGAAACATGACACTTAGGTTTTGAGTTTAGCAGGGTATGACAGGTGGATTTTCCATTTTTATCTTATTTTTAAGTCTGTTCTTGAGATGGCTTTCTCAAGCACTATAGGCGAGAGCATTGGGGTCAGAGTTTGAACTTCAGGTGTCTAACATTGAATGGAACCAGAGCCAAGAGCAGCCCCACTAGGCAGTCAGGGAGACATCCAGGACCCTGGCAGACCTCCGCTTCCCCCTCTCCGTCCCCCAAGAGCTGCCAGATGGGGCGAGGGCCTTTTCAGTGGCTCTTCCAAAGAAAGTGTTGTTTTGGATGAGTGTCCACCCCAGAGACCCAGGGCTAGGAGTGTCTTTTGTCCTGTCCAACTATACCTGGATTTCGCTGGCTTCCAACTCCTGGGGCCACCCTACTTCTCCTGGTCACAGTTCTCCAATGGGCACTTCAGCCTTGGCTGATGCCTGAAGGCACCCCGAGTGCTCCCACAGTTCCCAGCCTGGGCTTCACTTCTTGGAGTTGCTACTTTTATTTTCTTTTACAAAAAGAGACACTAGAAGTTTTTATTTTTGCTTTGCTTTGTTTTCTTAGAGAAATTGAGTATGAACCTGTTGGAAGAAAGTCCTCAGAATCAGAAAGGAGAACTTTCTCATCAGTGTGACCATGTCTTTTCCAGGCGACCTCTCCACACCTCTCTGGGATCTGGGTGTCACAAATCTGCATTGGAGTCCTGACAGAATTGTTCAAGCTCCCTGCGCTTTGGTTTCCTCCTTTGTAAAAGTGGAGGCAAATTTTGTACTACCTGATAGAGTAGCTGTGAGGTTTAATTCAAAGAATACAAAAGCGCTTAATTCATATCTAGAAAATTGTTGTCCCTCTACAATTATGCTATTTTTTTAAATGACCATCGTCACCATTTTCAAAAGCAATCAGGGCGCTGCAGATGTGGCGCTCCTCCAGTCTCTGCCAGTCCCAGGAGCGAACCATCTCTTTTGGCAAACCTTCACACTTTCGCTGTTGATCTGATTATTTTTAATTTATTATGTTTTTAAATTACCATACGTTTAATAATACAAGGGGGTTCGTTGTAATAACTCCATACATGCATATAGCGCATATTGAACAAGCCCCTCTGCCATCTTTCCCCCTTCCTCGTCCCAGTCTCGTTCTTGATCTTATACCCACATCTTTGCTAAGCACTTCCTAGTTTTATGACGGCTCCTCGTAAATAAACTCCTTTGCTTCCCACAGCAACCTTCACTAGGTGAGTCTTGCTAAAGCTCTGCTGCTGGGTGGGTGAAGGCTCCTGTCCTTGTGATCCATGGAGGTTTTAAGGCCCCCGGACCCAACCCGTTGCTCTTGGAGAGGCTCGGGTCCTAGTAGCTGGCCGTTTGGCGTCTTCTGCGCGGTTTCGGGTTCGCAATGGGAGGAGAAGAAGCGCAGGCCGCTGGCAGGTAGTTTTTGGCAGCCCAGTGTTGACTGACTCACGCCGGATCACCTAGCGATGGGCCAGCTTTTCGGAAAGCGCCTCTTGGGCACTCTCAGCCTGGTAGAGACTGGGGTCTCCGGAATGTGGCTCTTTCTCGGCGCTCTCTAGTCTCATAGTCCAGGGTTTGGATTCCAGCTGTCATTGACTCATTTAATTTCGTCCTTGGAATGGGCTCATGATGAAGATGAAATTAGGCGCTCTGAGGAACTTAGGATGGGGCTGGCGCAGTCTCCTGTACATGCGGCGGGGGTGGCGGGAGTGATGGTTTTACCAGCAGAGGTAGAGGCTGGCCTTCCTGAGAGGCCTACGGAGGCCGCGGAGCCCGCGGACCCCGACTGGCCAAACAGTACTCAAAGAGTATGAAAGAGACACAGGTTCCACCGAGCGCGCCACTCAGGGCTCCACCCGAACAACACAAGCAGGACCAGGACTTAGTCCAGACCCCTCAGGCAGCAGGACTAGCCAGCGGTAATAGATACCCGGCCAGCGGTGTCCTCGAGGCGACCCGCGCGGTGCTCGACTTGTGTACCTCGAACTCTAAGCGTCCTTCCCTGGCCGACGTCAACCTCCCTCTGCTCTTCAGAATTGGCGAGCTCCTTTCATATAACGAACACATACCCGTGGCCTTGAAAAGTTCTCGGGACGCGGGAAAAGTCGCCTTCCGAGCAGAGGAAGAGCAAGGCTCCTGCAAACGCAGCGCACAGTGCGCGCAAGTGCGCGCCGGCTCCGCGTGTGAGCTTTGTACCCAGGCGACAGCCGGGCTCTCTTCACAGTGCCCAGAAACCCAAGAGCTCATCCGCCTGCACCTCCGCGCCCCTCTATTCCTCAGAAATTGCCTGCGCAGGGGCTCAAGCCCCGCCATTCCTCTCGTGATCTTCAGCTGTATGGCGAGGCACGTTCGTGGAGCGCCATGCGCTCTGTGCGCGGTCTCCGCGCGGACCCAAGCAAGACCTGACTAGCGCTCCGGGCCGCGCGCCTACTGATCTCATCCTTGCCCTGTCAGTGCGGGCCCTGGAAAATCCCTCACGGGTTCCTCACATAGGAAGGGGCCTTGCCTTCACCATGGAACTCCTTGTGACTTTCCCCAAGCACGTTGGTCCCCAGTTCGCGTCTGGGAAGCACAGAGTCCGATAGTACAGTGCTGCAGGAAACAAGCAAAGCTCTTTCTTTGCTTCCCCATGTATTTCTTCCTGAGAGTCTGCTATCAGTTACATATGTACTCGTGTTGGCTAAATCTATATCTGCAATAACAACATCTCAGAGTTGGTGGTGATTTCAGTCCCGTCTATTTTTTTTTTTTTAACAGACTTGATGTCTGTACTTCACTTACACCCTTCGCCCCGGATCTGGAGCCTGAACGCATTCAACCACAGTGATTGGGCCCCTCCTCTGGGCATGGCTGGAATCCTGACTGTGCTTGTCCCAGTGGAAGAGCTTACTGGTCACTTCTTGTCCCTGACAGCCATGCAGGTGTGGAGATTAAGTTCATTATCGTGAATTTACCAGTGTGATCAGAGTCACTCAGGTTCCCCAAATCTCTCCTTTTGGAGAACAAGGGCTGCTTGTATTTCCCGAATTAACTTGGGCCCCTTTGTCTATTGCTGTCACCTCCCCACCTCTTCGCCTTCAGTGAACCCAGTTCAGTGCATTTACATTTGAATGTAATGTGTGCCCTGTCCTTTTAACCTTTCAAGTGTGTGTAAGTGTGTATGTGTGGTTTGTGCCTGAGAGTGAAGATCCACTCTGTGTCTGAATATGTCTGCACATGTTTAGAGTGTGTCAGTGGTTTGCCATCATGACAATGATCAGATGTATCTAAATGATCAGGTGTATATAGAAACCAGGGAATCCTTCCTGTATGCCTTTATTTGGGAGAGGGGTGGGGGACGCTGAGGATGGAACCCAGGGCCTCACTTATGCTAGCCAAGAGCTCTACCCCCTGAGAACTCCCCCAGCCCCATAGTTATTCTTTTTTCCACCAGGCACAGCATCTCCCAAGTGTCTAATGTCTCCCAAGTGTCTTGCTGATGATGAAAACTGTCTGTTATTTGTATCAGAAAATATTTGAAGGCAGGAAAAGTTATCTTTAGAAGGGCACAAAGTTGAAATTTTGGTAGAAACTGAATGTAAAAATCTTTTCTAAGAAATATTTTGTTCACAAATAAGGTCTTTCATGATTTCAAGAGCTTCACCTATAAACCTTCCTGAAAATTAAGTTAGAAGGGCCAGCAAAGGGATATCCTTAGTTGACATTGAATCAAATTTTACTCAAGCCAGCTCTGGCCAATGAGATATGGGG